CATCTTTGACTTAATCATAACAATAATAAAATAATAAAATAATAATAAAGGAATCATAACAATAGACACTGTACATAAAGAGGCATTTCGCTCTCTGCCTACATTGCCTAGCTGCTGGGGCTGTCCTGCAACCTACCTCAGCCCATATACACAAGACACCCTCTAATTTCAGCGCCTGACAGCTTATTTCAGCCTTCCCACATCACACCAACCAACCGCCGTGTCACCCAGCTCTTCCGGGCTCCATCCATAAACAGTACCGGCAGGTTACCACTTCAGATGCTCTCGCTGCCCGCGCCGTCGCACACGCCCCCGAGACTACCGCGCTCGCTGCTACCAGCGCCCGAGCTGCGCGGCGTGTGCAGCATCTCCTCCGACGCCGATCGCGCCAGACACATCCCCGTCGCTTCCGCCCGCCTCCGCATGCCACTCTCCTCCCCCCAGCATCATCCCGCTCATGCTATCCCCCTCCACGGTTCCGCTTCCGCTTCCGCTTCCGCTTCCACTTCCACTTCCTCTTCCGCCGTTCAGCGCTGCCGCCGCTAGGCCCGCCTCCCCGCCCTTCGCCTCCTCCGCGCCCACAGTGTACACCAGATACGTCTTAATCTCCCCAGTCGCGAATCCGTTAAAGCTGGACCCCGCCGCCGCAGTGTACGCGCCCATGTTCGGGAACCACCAAATCGCCGATCGCCAGCTCAGGCAGCGCCTCGTCGCGCAGCACCATGTCCAGCCCGTCGCAAGTCGGACCGAACACCGTCGATGGGAAGAACGCTCCGCCCGCCCCCGCCCCCCGCCGCGCGCAGAGCTCCGCCGCCTCCGCCGCCCTTCCTGCGCTTCCCCCGCACTCCGCCTCTGGGGGCAGGCCCTCCCTAACCTCCGCCTTCTCAAACCCGCCGCCGCCGCTGCCGCCGCCGCTCACGTCAATAACCTCAACCTCTCCGCAGTCCAGGCCGCCGTCCGCGGAAGACCCGTCGGACGCGGAAGCGGATGCGCGCGCAAGCGGGCGCGCGCAGCGTGGCGTGGTCGTAGAGCGCGCAGTTCATGGAGCCGTACAGCCCGTCGTTGATCCAGTACTCGCGCCGCTCGCCGCGCACGCGCCGCCCGAAGACGCACGCGGCGAGCGTGGAGGGCGTCTCGGCGAAGTACCTGCCCGGCTCCGCGATCACCGCCACGCCGCTCGCCTCCGGGAAGAAGCGGTCGAGCGCCGAGTTGATCGCTGCAAAAGAAAGAAAAAACAAGAGCACGATTAGCGAAGACCATCATGAAATGCACAAAACGGAACCCAGGAATGTATTATGGGAAACGAGGCGAGAAAAGCTGGGTGCACCAGTAGCCACCATGGCATTAAAGACTGGTATTCAGGCAACCCACCGTTAGCAGCCGCGGCGAAAGGCATGCCGCCGGAGCATCCTGTGCCAGGTGCTGTGAACCCGCCACCCACGTCAAGCACCGACATGACAGGCATGTCCGCCGCTCGTGCCACGTCAGCGGCCATGTCGAACACTTGGCGCGCCGCGGCGATGGCGCGGGTGAAGGCAGCGGGTCGGCCGCGCCGCTTCCGACGTGGAAGGAAACTCCCACCACGTGAAGCTTGAGGCGCGAGGCGACGGCGAGGAGGGACGGCACCTCGTGCATGAGCGCGCCGTACTTGACGCCGAGGTTGCAGCGAGCCGTGGAGTCGTTGGCTTGCAGACGGAGCAGCAGCACGGCGGAGGGATTCAACGCGTGCACCTGCGTTAGCGTCACACAGAAAAGTACCAGTTAGAAGGATATCAAATCCCGGTAAAAAAAACAGAGATCAGGAATCACGTGCAAGAATGAATCACATAGAGCGTCCTGTATTTGTCTGTCGAGCGGTCTTTGGCATGAAACGGACCTTGACAAGCTCGGATTCGGAGTCGAACGTCGTCGCACGGACACCCATTTCCGAGGCGAAGGTGATGTGCGACGGCATCTTGCAGGGGTTGGCGAAAATGATGCTGTCAGGCGACACACCCATGCTCAGAACCTGTCAAGCAAGCGACAATGTCAACGGTCAGAATCTTAGTAGCTAACTACTAAACGTTATAATGACGCGGAATGTTGCAACGACGGCGTAGAAACTTGCACGCATAGAGATATGGCAACCGACCTGAGAAATCTCGGCCTTGCTCGCGCAGTCGAATCCCGCTCCCAGAGCGGCAAGCACGGAGACGAGTAGCGGGGATGGGTTGCACTTCACCGCGTAGAAAGGCTGGACCCGGGGAAAGGCGGCCGTCCAGCCCTGCAAGGAAACAAGAAACAAATAATCGTCTGTCAGAAAATGACTCGCCAATGTCTCAAGCCAATAAGTTATTGATAAGCAAAACGAGATTCGCTTGGAACCGGAGTACCGACCGTAAAAAGACGGACGATCTCGCCGATGTCCATGACGTAAAACGGATCCTCCAGTCGCATCTCCCGAATGAGCCGCTGAATCTCGCCGTCGATCATTCCCGCTCGTCCAGCCGATGGTGGGGACGACTGGAGAACCTGAATGCGTCCCGCTTCCGCCAAGAAGCTTGGCATGACGACGCCGCGACTGTCAGCACTTGATTCGTTCAGTGGAAGCGTCCCTCCTGGCAGCAGCTTGAATCCGTCAGATCCCCGCATGTCATAATGATCCTGATGATCCTGGTGAACAAGGCCGCCACCCGTGTCAAGATCCATGCGTTTCATTTCGTGGTTACCAGTCGCCCAGGGAAGACCCCATTTCGTGACACGCGGCTTTCGTGAGGTGCTGACGCCACTCCCCGGTTTCGCGGAGAGCGACTGAAGCGAGTTGTCGAGAACGACTCCGAGCTCGTAAGAGTCCGAGTGAAGCTTAGGCTTGAAGAGGTTAGCCGACGATAGAAAAGAGCTCTCTACGACCATCGCAGATCCTGCCATATTGACTCCCGAAGCTACTAGCGAGAAAAGCAGTTGAAAGCTCGAACAGGCTGGAGTGTGCACGCACAGAGCGGGTTCTATAAGGCACTGAGTAGGAGAGCTTGTAGTGAGGCAACCGTAAGAAGAACTCGCAACTTGAATTGCGTGAGTAATAATGCGCTGATCAGCCTGAATTTGAACTCTAGACCAGCAAGAGCTCCTAGCGCGAGCGTCTACTATCAGGAGCTATTCTGATGCTGGATGCGAAGTGCAGTAAGCAATGAGGCATGCAGTCTGTTTCTGGCGCGGAAAACGGCGGCTGAGTTTCAGGAATCAGGAGGACGCTGCTGCTGGGAGGTGAGGTGAATCTCGGGAACAGAGCAATGAGAGGGACGAAAGTTGCGGCGAAGTAATGCGAGATGAATCACGCGTCGCGGTAACCATGCTGCACCAGTCTGGGCCACTTGTTTTCGCGTGAGCGGGTGGCGACGACAGCCGTAGCCGCTACGCGCCTCTTCGTGCCAGGATGGGAATTGCCGTCTGCTGACGACGGCGAAACGCAGGGAACAGGTCAAAGCAAAACGCGTTGTCCTATGCTGCATCAAGTCTACATTTTCACGAACCGTAATTTGAAACACAATATAAAGACAAACTGAAAGCTTGGTCACAACAAAATCGGAAATGAAAATATGCTAGCCAAGGTGCTAGTAGAATCAAGGAGACATCAGCTTCGTTTTTTGGCGATATAGAAGAAGGGTGCAAGGGCAATATTGCACCATGTAAGCACTCACATTTCCAAGGACAACCCTGCTCAAGCATTAGGAGAAAGTAGGGTGACATGACACTCATGCAGGAAAATGGCAATTAGGGAACAACTAAATACGACCAGCATAATTTAGCACGATTGCCACACCACAAATGCTTACCCGCGAACTGAGCCTGTTCCTCTTGTAGCGACTACCAACAGATCGATATGGTTGCGCTCGCAAAAGTCCACCAGTAACGGACGAGGATCGCCCTCAAGCACATGAGTGGACACCTCAAACGCTGCCCCCTGAGAAGCAAATGACGGACAGGAAAAGGGGCAGGTGGCAGCAAAAGAGTGAGAAAGAGAAAGGAGGGGAAATGGGGGGTTGGGGGGCGAGGGGGGGGGGGGGGTGGCTAGGAGAGTGGGGGAGCAGTGAAATTTGGGGGGAAGAGGAGAGAACATGGGAGGAAGAGAGAAAGGAAGCAAAAAAGGTGCATGACCGTGGCACAGAATCCTTAGGAGGCAGAAGGGGAGGGGACGGGTGGTGTCCCTGAAAGCTGCTGTACCTTTGTCTGCAGCGCAAGGGAGATGAGGGCGTCAAAGTGGGGTCGCATCATTGAGTCGTTGGCCTTCTTTCCATCAGCTGCTAGCATACGGTCTGGTATTGATGTTGGCATACGGATTGGGGGGGAGGGACAGAGGGGGGAGGGGGAGGTAGTGAGTCTGGTGAGGAAACAGGACGTTGCGCAAGGAGGAAGACGAAACACATGGAACATACCTTGGCTTACCGACTTTTCAAGCAACCGTCCTCCACATAGATTAGTGAGAAGAGGTGCATATTCCATAGCGGAAAGAAGCTTTTCTTCTCTATCCATGGACATATCACCACCCTCAATCCTATTCCCTATTTCCCTATGGGCCCCTATCGACCAGCACACCCTGCATGGCATAGCTGGGTTCTCGATCCGCGTGCAGCAAGTAGAGCCGGTCCTCTGCGCGGCACACGTGGTGCAGCACCCACTTGCACGCCTCGCCGCTCGCCTCGCTCCGGTCCAGCCCGACAGCGATGCGGCGCGGGCGGTTGCACTGCAGGCGCAGCTGCTCCTCCTCTGGCGCCATGCGCACCACCAGCACCGGGCACGGCGCACACACCGCACAGTAGTTGCCCCGGCTGCCCGTCAACATGCTGGGGGGATGGGGAGGGGGGTGGATAAGAAGATGGATGCAGGGAAGGATACGGCTCAGGTGAACGCGTCGGCAATTGAAAAGACGACGAGAATGGTACAAGTAGGCAAAAGGGGCCGGGGGAAGGGCAGGGGTGCAGCTGTAGAGAGAAGGTAGTAACGGAGGGAGGAAAGGGAGGGCGGGGGGGAGAGGGGGAGGTTAACAGTGGGTGAGGTGAGCAACGAGCATGTGCTGCTGTTCATAGAATGGGCTCATCATAGGAGCACTGCACGATGCTCCTCCTAGCAGTGCTCCGCTAGGAGAAGGAATATGGTGGTGGGTGGGTGGGTGGGCGGGTGGGTGGGCGGCTATCATGTGGTGTGGTGTGGGGTGGGGTGGGGTCACCGGTGAGAGGAGAGTTGGCGCCTGCTGCCGAGCACAAGGAGGTCGACGTCCCTATCGGCGCAGATGGACACAATCTTCTCCCGCACGTCACCCTCCACAAACACCCCCTCGCACTGCACCTGTCGCGCCGGCAAGCAGGCAGGCACGCAGGGAGGCACACAGGGAGGGAGGGGAGGGGAGGAGGGCGTTAGTAGAGTAGAGGAAGGTAGACGAGGCGGGGAGGAGAAAGTGGATCAATGGGGCGGGAGCGGAGAGGGGTTGTGTGGTGAGGGAGAGGGGAGCAGCTGACCTGTTTGTCCGTCTCCTGGCACATCTGCCGAGAGCGCTCCATGAGCCCGTCCAGCACCTGGGGAGTCACGGCCACTGGCGACAGAGCGCGCAAGAGAAAACACGCGCAACAGGAGCGGAAGAGAAAACACGCGCAACAGGAGCGGAAGAGAAAACAGGAGGACAGAGGGGAATGAAATGAAGGAAGCAGGCGCGACATCCCTCCTGCGCGACATCCCTCCTGCGTGACATCCTCAGCGATTCAGATCGTTCACGTGCAAAAGGATTCGGCATTCTCAAGACACTTGCTGCTGC